ACCAATTTCCATTTTTATAATAAAAAGTAGATATCCCTTTCCTTATAGATTTTCTATATATATATATATATATATATATATATATATATATATTATATGGAATTAAGAGAACAAAAGAAAAACCAAAAAAATGTGTGATCATTTGATCCTTTTACCAACATCCAAATCCAACCATGTGATGATGTTCTCATCCAAGCTGTTTGTTAATCATGTCGGTTTGATCTGTTTGGCCCTACCTCTTGTTTTGTTTAAACAATGCAATTTGCTTGCATAATTCCATTACGCATGCAACATACAACGGTGCCATTACGACAAACTCAAGTCGCACCAACTGGCTTCATAACTCAACTCGTGCAATCGATGAATCAAAACGTGGGATCCATTTTTTTTTTTCCTCGGAGTGTCGAGACCACATCATTGTGGTTTTTGATGCAAATCGTGAAGCGAAAAATTATGTCTAAATTCTGGTCGCGGGGTTTGATAAACGACTAGGATGGATTGATCCCGACGGGATCCAAAGAGGATCTGATCCCAAAAGTTGATGCACCAGCTAAAATATCGACCAACTGATGTATGGGTTCAAAATAACATTTTGGGCTTGTAAATTAAAAATGGGCCTAAAAGTTGGAGCGTCTTCTGTCATTTGGGCTTTTAAGAACTTGAAACCAGGCAATCCATCTAAACTGGGCTTTCCACTGTTGGAAACCCAGCACCAGACTTTTTGGACTCTCGCACGTGTGAAGCTGTTACAAGCCCAAAGAATATGCTGCTGACATCACTCATCAGAAGTTCTTAAAATGACCATACAACCCTCCCTCCAGAAATGGACTGCACCACGATTACCAGTCCCTGAGGCCAAAGCTTCAAAAAACCCTAACTTGCCACACAGCTCACTCTCACTGTGACTGAGCTCCATCAATGGCGTCCCAAATGGCGATCCTCGCGCGGACCCGAGCGCTGGCGAAAACCCTAAACACGAACCCGGGATTCAAGTCCATCACGACCTTCACATTTCTCTCGCAGGAGCCCCAACTCGCCGTCGAGCCGACTCACCCCATCGCCTCCACTCCGCTCCCTCCGAACCCGGCCTCCGGCAGCCCCATGTACAACGAGAACTGGCGGAATCCGGCCCCCAACTCGCCCATGGGTCAGTCCCTGCTACCCCTCGGGTTCCTCAACCAGTCCCCGAGCGCCCGATTCCAGGTCATGTCGCAAAACCTGGACGCGCAGAGCCTGATGAACGAGTTCGCCAATTGGATGACGTCACAGCGATGGCCGGACATGAAGCAGCTGTTCGAGTTCTGGGTTCGGTCGTTGGATAAGAACGGGAAGCCGAATAAGCCCGACGTGAGCTTGTATAACCATTACTTGAGGGCCAATTTGATGATGGGAGCCTCGCCGGGGGAGATGCTGGATCTGGTGGCGCATATGGAGGACTACGGTATCACGCCCAACACCGCGTCGTTTAATCTCGTCCTCAAGGCCATGCACCAGGCCAAGGAGACCGAGGCCGCCGATAAATTGCTCGAAAGGTTAGCTCTTTGGTGGATTTGAGTATGATTCTCGCAAGCTTTCTGTATGTGTTTTTGTTACATTAGTGAAATGATGATTTGCATTGAGTTATAACTTGTACAATTCAATTTGAGTTATAACTTGTACAATTCAATTAATGTTGCCACCGCAGTTTCTATTATCGGTAGTAATGAAATGAATTTTTCGGGTTGAAGTGCCGATTAAAGGCTTTTGTTTTCTTCACTCGTCTTTCGGAAGGGTCTCCTAGAAAGACATGTTGGCATGAATCAATTTCACTTCAATGTATCAGGATGTTGCAGACAGGGAAGGAATCTCCGCCTGACGAAGAGTCATATGACTTGGTTGTTGGCATGCTGTTACAAATGGACCAGATTGACGCCGCCTTGAAATATATAGATTTGAATTTAAAATCTGGTTACATGCTGTCAATGCCGGTGTTTAGGGAATGTGTACGAGGCTGTGTCAATAAGGGAAAGCTAGATATTTTGGTTTCTATTATTGACAAGTGCAAGGTACATGATTCATACCATAGATATTTAGATCGAGGAGTGGAAAATTTTGCACAATGTTCACTTATGTAAGTTTTTTTTTGGGTGTTATCAGTCAATGGATCAGAACAAAGCTCTTTGCCCACCGTGGAACTTGTGCAACTATATTGCAGAAGCTGCTCTGCAAGATGATAATAGCAAATTAGCATTTCATGCCCTGGAGTTTATGGCCAAATGGATTGCTAGGGGTGAGCAAGCAAGACCTGTTGTTTTTCTTTCCACAGATGAAGGGCTGCTTGTGTCGGCACTTGCAACTGCCGGCAGGACACACAGTACTACTTTACTTGATGCATCATGGGCAATCTTATTACGCTCGTTGCGCCAAAAGAAGGTCCCTAATCCAGAATCTTACCGTGCGAAGATATGTGCCCTTGCATCGCTGGGGATTCTACAAAGAGCTTTTAGTACTCTTCGTGAATATGAGTCTGCTTATGGTAATTCCGATAAAGAAGCAGAAGAGGAACTATTCTCCCCATTTACTTCATTGTATCCGCTGGTTGTTGCCTGCTCCAAGGGAGGTTTTGGAACTTTGGACTCCGTACGTAGTTCTTTCTTTATTCCTGTTTGATTTAGACACATAATCTATTGAAAACCTTGTCTCTATTTGTGTCTGAGATATCTGGAGGCTGATAAAGATTTAACCTTTGTTTATCTCAAAATTATGCAAATTTATGATGTTTTTGTGCATTTTTAAATATTGCATATGCACAGCTGCCAATTTTTCCATTCTCTTTATGCATCAGTAATGTAATTGCTAGTCCTCGTTAAGTAAATCTTTCAGGTTTCTGTAGGTCACCGTTTAACAAACTGAAACTTGTTATAATAAGAGCAATCCAGAAAAGAAGAAATAGTAAATGAAAATATATCTTGCAATTGTCTGTCCGGGGAAGGGGGGCCAAGGAGTGTGCTCCCAGTTTCGGTCCATTACCCCATCGTATATTTTCCTTTGTGAATTTTCTTTTGCAGCTTTTTAACTTGAAATATATTGATATTCCCCAGGTGTATTATCAATTAGAAAATTTGAGCCGTGCAGACCCTCCATACAAATCTGTTGCTGCATTGAATTGCATAATATTAGGTTGTGCAAATACCTGGCAGATCGAGCGTGCTTACCAGACCTTTGAGGCAATTACTTCCACATTTGAATTGACCCCTGATATACATTCTTACAACGCTCTCATGTATGCTTTTGGAAAGCACAAGCAGGTAAGTCTCTCTCTCTCTCTGAGGCCCCTGGAGTGATTCCAGTTATCTTGAATTAACGTTTAAGTTTTCTGTGTCTTTGCTTCTTCTAAGCTATCTAATTTTCGCTGCCCAACTCTGTCCTACATCATAACATCTTGCTGAACAAGTCGTATGGTTTTTTGGCAGACTTTTGAAGCTTCAAGAGTATTTGAGCACTTGGTTAGTGTGGGCGTCAAACCCAATGCAAAGTCGTACTCGTTACTTGTAGACGCTCATCTCATCAACAGAGATCCAAAAGCTGCGGTCTCGGTGATTGATGACATGGTAACTTCATTCTTCATGTCATTGATGGTGTAACCTTGTCCACAGTACATAATACATAGTTTGCTGCCTCTATAAAGAATATAATAAATGTTTGGGCAGGTAAATGCTGGTTTTGAACCAACGAAAGAACTGCTGAAAAGGGTCAGAAGAAGATGTAGGCGAGAGCTTGACTACGAGAGTGATGATCATGTGGATACCTTGGCTAAAAGGTTCAAAATTGTGATGGGTTCAGAGAATCGCAGGGACTGGCTGTTTAATCTCAATTACAGCACCGGATATGCCTAAATGGTAAGTAAATGTTCCTTTCTGAAATGAAAGATATCTGTTCCGTTTCCATATACCTTGCATCACCTTTTTCTATGGTCTCTTGCATCAATCGCGTTTCTGATTGATGATTGTTTTTCTGCCTGCTGTATGATTTGAAGAAGCTCATTGGATACGAGATCCAGCTCTCACACTCGTATCTTCCAGTGTAAACTTTCTTCCGAATTTGTAAATTACCTCGGACAATCTCCATCGAGTCTTGGCAGGATCTTTGCTACGATATTAGCCTCCTAGTTCCTCATTGAGTTTTTTTCTTCATATGTAATCTTTTTGTGCTTTTTGAGGGAAAATGAAAGAGTAGTAAATTGTTGCCAATAATTGTAGGAAAAATGTTTCTTGTTTTGTGCTCAATGGTTTAGTCTCAATTTTTTTCTACAAGATGTCTCAGCCATTTCTTTTTGCCGTCATTTTTAGCGTATTCGTTAAAACCTTCAGAATTGTTGAAAGGCGCTTGTAGCTCAGTTGGTTAAAAGTATTTATCCTTGCACTTTGATGTTCCAAGCTCGAAACCCCTCTCGCCCGATATTGCTTGATGAATTGTTAATTCAGAATTTAAGCGCCAAGTGCCGGGCTACTATTACAACAGTGATCAAATCTCTTCGGAGATCACTTAAAATTTTGGTAACACAAGATGTGAAAAACACAACAAATTCAAAATCTCCCGATGCTTTCGACTCGATTCGATGTCATTTCTCAGAGCTTTTATTTTCTCACTCAAAGCATCCTCCACAGAGCCTCCAATGGCTATAAATCTATGATGTAGAAAACCAAGAGAGCAATGATTGAAATGTATAACAAGGATATGGGAAATAATTGTAGACCTTCTTGTTGAGTATGTTGAAGATGACATTTAATAAATACCTGATAAAAAGCAGAAAAATAAAATTATGAACATCTGCATTGATTTATTGGAAATAAATAATTATCCTCAGAAATTAATGAAAATTAAATATGAATGCTTGCCACATGAAAATGAATGAAAATTCAATCCAACAACTCAAACGAATGAAGTCAACAAAAAGACCAGGAGAAACTTGGGCTTTACTCCAAAAGCCCAAAAACAAGGCCACTTCAATTTCCAGAGATCGTTTTGGATCGAAAAGGTAAACCTAGCCAAGAAAAAGTGAAAAAAAAACAGAGCGTAATTTGCTTTGGCTTTCACTTTCACTTTCCAAACTCAGTATTCCTCTTGAATATTTCAAAATTTGTTGTATTTCTTCATGTTCAAAAAATAATTGTATAAAATCGATTGAATTAAAATGGAAAGGAGTGGTGGCAAAGGCAGGGAAGAAGAGGAACAAGACGGCATGTCCGTACACTCTCCTTGCAAACCTCCCCCTTCCTCTGCTTCTTCTCTCCCAAAGGTCCCTTTCTCTCCTCTCTCTCCTCTCTCTCTCTCTCTCTCTCTCTCTCTCTCTCTCTCTCTCTCTAGATTACACACACACACATATACATGTTGATTTTATTTTGTTTTAAATTTGATGGTGAATGTAATAGGAGCAATCACAGGTTGAATTGGAGCTCAGACTGTTTGAAGCTCTTGAAATTTACCCTCCCGGAAAATTACAAGGCAGGTTTTCTCTAATTAATGCTCATATTTCAGTTTATTATCTTTCGATTTCTAGTTTTGGTTTGTTATATATGTGACAATTTTATGTAAATTATCAATTTTGATTGTAAAACGGGTGGTTAATTACCATCTTTAATCTTCGTATGGAGAATTTTTCACCCAGAAAATGCAAAGAAGTCATTTTTTTTTTTGTGGTGGTAGGAAAAATTCAGAAGTATAGTAATTTTTTTACCAAATCCGAATTTCGAATTTGATGGTTCAAGTCAATATAAGGGGAGTTATAATAAATCAACATTCACATTGGACCAAAAATTATGTGCATGAGTTAATGCATGAGGGGTGATTAATTAGGCAATAATACAATACCGTTTCCATTTTGGGGAATGCTAGGATTAGTCGCCCACACACCCACGAGTGACTGTTTGTGGAATACTAGGATTAGTCGCCCACACACTCGCGAGTGACTGTTTGTGGAATACTAGGATTAGTCGCCCACACACCCGCGAGTGACTGTTTGAGGATTAGTCGCCTACACCCGCGAGTGACTGTTTGAGGAATACTAGGATTAGTAATTCTTCCTTTTTTGTCCGTACATTATCATGTTATTTGGAAATATACAAGCAAGTAAAGTACATATATGAGCAATCAGCTACTTGTTTGGGCGCAGGCATACACCGTCATTTCGTGCTTTATGGTTTAATGGAATTTCTTCGTAGAAGGTTTGTCCCACTTCACGTTTCTGTTTATTGGTTCATATTACTGATTCTAAAAAGCTTCCATTTTCTGATGCATAGCCTTACTCATTGTTGTGTTGTTTTCACAGCTTTGATCGACACTTCTCTGCTGACGAGGTTCTGCAATTGCTAGAGAGGTTCTACAACTTGGAAATGCTGGTATCTAATTTTATCATTCAGTTTTTCCATATTTCTGCGCTCTTTATCTTATGATGGAACTGTTAAACTTAAATACCCATGTTCATCGGTAATCAACACTGAACGTTCACAGTGCCACTTGCAGAATATGGATGTAAAATAACTAGAAGCTTCATATTTAGGTAAAACAACTCTAGAAATACAAAATATACGCTCATCTCTGCACTGCATTATAGGTGAATAGGTACTAAATAGCTGCGTTATTCGAGTTCGAGGCATACATTCGGTGAAAGGGTAGGCTTGAGGAAACATTTGGAATGGGGTCTCGTATGCGGAAGTTTGATGTGAGACTTTAGATAAACAACTACTGAAATTACTTCTAATGAAACATTCAAATGGTCCCAAGGGACTAATTATGTGCATATCTCTTGTTCCTCTTTAGACTTACTGAAATCTACATATTTTACCATTTTTTCCCTTGAATTTCAGAAACCAGACGACGAGGAGATGGATTTCCTGAATCGCGAGGAAGAGTTTTGCCTGCCTCAAAATTTCTTCGTCAAGGAAGAACCATAACTGATTATTTTTGTATAGAATTATATCTTGTTCGTACGTATTTTGTTTGCTCTAATGTTATGCGATGCCGGTCATCCAGTCTTTTTCCGTGACCATACAATGTCAGGGTGGTTTTTGCTAATATGTATGAACTTGCTTGAAAATCTTAATTAGCATTTGGGGGTTATAGTTATACCTCAGCAGTGGATGTCGATGTTGCTTCACAGTTTTGAAAGGGTATATAAACGGAATTGTTATTGGCACTTCAAAAATCTGATTTTGCACTCCAATTTTTTTGTAATTAGAAAGAAAAATATACTTCTGAGAAGTGTAGATTGAGATTTTTGAAGTGCTAATAACATCCTCTTGACGGCAATTCTGCCTTGGAATTCTTTGCAGTCGGCGTGTTCGTCCCTTCGGTCCATAGGCGAAATCTTGCATGCGACCAGTTATTTGTCTTCTTCTCTCTATCTCGCTTGACGTATTTCCTTTGTGCATTATTTTATCTTTGTAGCTTTGACGAGAATACATTTACGCGCTTTTGTTATTGGTAGTGAGCATCGCCACCACAATAATTCAAGTTTGAACGAACTTAAAAAATTCAAGTAACGGGTAAATTAAATCGGATTTATTCAGTCTCAAATAATTAAGTGACAATGCTCACCATCGTTAACAAAATATGTATTGTATAGGAAAAGTCAAGTTTATCTCAAACTTGCAAGACAAGCAAGGGGACTATAAAAGTAAAAGAGAAGATAAAAGGTCTATTGCTTAACATAAGAAGCTTATATTAAAGAACATGTAGCAAAACCATCAATCCAGAAACAAAAATAAGAACAGAAAATTGATCAAATCCTAATCTTCTTTGGAACCTAGAAGGATCAATATCGTAAAAAAATTATGTCTACGTCCTTGAGTCAAATCCCCTCGCGAAAACTGAGTGAGAGAAATGCTAAAGGGTCGCGTTTTGCAGAAGTCTTTCTACTTGCAGTTTTCCGGGCTATTTCAGGTAACCCGATCAATGCTGCAAGATTTACTGTGTTTTATCCAGAGTAACAGTTAGTTAGTAGCAATTGATTATTACCGATTAAGCCCCAAAGAAAAAGATAATAAGCACTTACCTTATCAGTTGCAGATTCGGCGGCATGTTTGGATTCTTCACCTTTGAAGTTGTCATCACCTGCACAAAAGCACTTTCCCATTAAGTCTTTTTCATCTGAATTATGATTCAGAACAGAAACTTCTACCATGCCGGTGCCTGCGCAGAGATACGGGCACCTTTGTATGTGTACCTACGCATGCGTTCGGTCACATACTACCCTATAAGTTCATACAGTTTTGATACCTGTATCCATTCACCAACAGCATGCCCGTTGTTGTTTCACATTCATACAAAGAGGAGCTGAAGATAAACAGAAGTCTTTCGAAGTCTTTCTAAGTGTACAGTAAGTTGAAAAGGAAAGTTCCTTTATATTGTTTGGAATTAGGAAGGATTATATTGTAAATGTGTGTTACTTGGCAAATATGATCAGGGTTTTACTGAAAACGTAAATGCATGTTTATCAGGCATCGAGGTATGCTGTACCTCCGTCTTCAGGCAAATCAGAGGTCCAGAGAGTGAGGTTGTCTCTCAACAATTGCATGATAAGGGTGCTGTCCTTGTATGACTCCTCACTCAAGGTGTCCAACTCTGCAATTGCCTCATCAAATGCTTGTTTAGCCAAATGGCAAGCCCTACAAGTATCCGATAACAACAAACATCTCAGGAGTTACTTCAACGAAAATGATCAGATAACAGATGTACATTGATACCTCTCAGGAGAATTCATAATCTCATAGTAGAAGACAGAGAAGTTGAGGGCTAGACCAAGATGGATTGGGTGGGTTGATGGGAGATCTGTGTTTGCAGTGGCTGATGCAGCCTGAGAAAAGACGTGGGAATTGGAGAGCACATCAAATGATAGGCGGTGTAAAGAATGAAACATACATAATCACTGATTAACATCCATTTGTGTTAAAAGTGGTTAAATTAAACATGCCTCGTATCCCTTGAGTGACTGATCAGCTGCCTCTTTTTTGTCCTGATCGGTCTTGAACTCAGAAAGGTACCGGTAATAGTCACCTTTCCTGTAACATGCACGTAACTATTGGTCACAAAAACATTATTAATTTCAAATACAGTGATGAATGGGACTCACATCTTGTAGTAGAAAACAGTGGCCTCTCCAGAGTTGGAAGAGGGAATCAGGTGCTTGTCTATGATTGACAGAATGTCATTGCAAATCTTGGAGAGTTCCTCCTCCACCTTCACCCGGTAACCCTTGATCAGTTTCACATTGTGCTCATTCCCCTTAGACTCTTCCTTTTGCTCAATGGAAGACATGATGCGCCAAGAGGCCCGTCGAGCACCTATGACATTTTTGTATCCCACAGAAAGAAGATTCCTCTCCTCTACAGTCAGCTCAAGGTCAAGTTTCGCAACTTTCTTCATACACTCAACCATTTCTGCATCATCAAGTAAACATAACAATTCAGAGAGAAAACTATCTTGACATACAGATAGTGACTCATTTCCACTAGTTTCAACATTACGCATAAAAGTGTATACATTTGATTCTCCCTATATTCCAAAAAAAAAGGACGAACAAATCCTAAACCGAAACAACAACCAATTAACCATCACTGTTTAGATATCCTTCACCCATTTAAAACCAAATCAAACTAGCCCACACAGCAAAACACACATTCAATTTCGACCAAAAACACGTGTCCGATTCATTTCCATTTTTCAATATTAATCCAAACAATATGTTCCATAATATTTAACAAAGTGATCAAAAATTGATCAAATCTAACAAATAGTACAAAATCATTCAGAATTTTATACAACAAATTCTCTAAATTCGATACAAATGCTGAAACATACACAATCTGATCAATGCCAGCTTTGACACACACACATATATATATATATATATATATATATATATAAGTATATGCAAGTATTTATCTAAATAGCATAATCCATGAGATTTAATTCTCTCAAAGTTCAAACCAACACAATGATCAAATAACGGTCGAATAATAACAACTTTGAAATCCTCCAATGCAACAAAAAATGGAACAAAAACAAAGGCATTGCATCCGTAATTCCATACAAAATTCCGTAAGATCCAATACAATGCTGAAACACTCACAATCCTACATATACATATAATTAGAGTGAGGTGTGAGTGAGAGACCTTCGTAACGCTCGGCCTGCTCGGCGAGCTTGGCCATGTAAACCTGGGACTCTCTCTCCTTCTCGGGCGACGACATCGTTTCGTTTCAGAGAGAGAATGATCGTTCGAAGATGATGATCAAAGCGAAGACGATGGTGAATGCAACTGACTGAAATAATAATAATTATAATAATAATAATAGGATTAGGGGGTTGTTTGCTGTTAAACATCGAGCAACTTTCGGGGTGCCCCTGACCAGATCTGGACCGTCCGTTCGGAACGTTTGAAAGAGAGGAGGACACTCGCAGTAGGAACGCAATGAAATGAACGCCCTTGAATACTTGCCCTTCTCTCGGAGGGGCTTTTTCGGGATTTTCCACATCTACCAATGCCAGCATAAGCAATGGAGTTGTGACGTGAGGGATCTTGTTTTCGGCTAAAGCCACGTAATGGCTCAACCGTAATTAGTTATTAAACTCGTTATTTATAAAATTTGAAATTAAGAGATATTTTACTTATAAGATTATCTTCAATTTTTGGGCTAAAAGTCAAAATTTTTAGCTCGGAAAATTTATCTTTTAGCTCAGAAACAACTTTTCTGCTACAACCCTTCTAGCCTAAAATTTAACTCGGGATTATTAAAGAATGAACTTAGGCTAATTTTTTTCTTAAATTAACTTTAAAAAAATAAATTATGTAGATTATCGTAAATTAATTTTATGAACATTTTAATTTAAAAATATTTAAATTCCGATAACTATTGAAAAATCACTAAATCTTTCCACAAAGCCCTATGCAAAAAATACATTAAAACAATTAGTTGCAAAATAATATTATGTACATAACAAATAAAATATTAAGAAAAAAACTCACAACTTATATGGCGCTCCTTCCACTAGCCATGCCAACCATGGCTTTCTCCAAGCTTCATTTCCATAAAGTGCATGATTTGTCGATAGTCTTCCACAGATCGTAAACACCACCACCAAGAACTATAGCAGACCGTAATACTAATACCACCAAGAGTCTAAGTGAGTTATAGCAGACCGTAATACTAATAACAATGTTGGTATTTGATTTTTTATTGCACGGAATATTTACACCATGGGGGGTGTGGTCCACAAGTACTAGCCCTTGGTGGCGCCATCTTCGGTTGGCTTATAAAGTCCGAAAGTATATGTTAAGAGTATTTGTGTTGTACACGTACTAGGCTTGAAAATTCAACGTCTGATTTGTGGTGTGCTACTGCTTGCCAAGCTTGCAAATTCGTCATGTGATTTGTGTTGTCCATGTACAAGGGTTGCAAATTTACCATATGCAAGGGAGCAAGTTGAGGTATCAATCTCAAATCAAAGAAAGAAGGGAATTTTTTAACATTAACAAATTGCTTCCAGTATTTCCCAACTCAGCACCTTTTATGATCACACGAAAATGTGTCCAAACTTTTTGATTTTTGGACACAGTAAGGATTTGTTCTTACAAATATTAAAATGAATAAACAAATAAGAAGAAAAAATTGCACGAAGAAAAAAAAAACGGATGAATGAATTGCTACAAACGCCTTAACACAAAAACATACGAGTTGCAGCTACTTCTGTGCGAAATATTCTACTCTACAGCTTCCACATGCTCACTCCAGTAAAGACTCATGAGCGCCTTCGACGTTCTTCGGATTCTGATCACAAATCACATTTTCTTGCCAGATCATAATCTGCTAATGAACACAAAAATGACAGTTAATTCGTGATTTACCCAAACCCCACATCGCTCCTCGCGCAAGTTGAGGCTCGGTGAAAAATACCCTGCAACCGTTCTAAACCGCCTACGTCCAACGGCTGATAACTTAGTGCCACTAAAATCAAGAGACAGGCCTGCCTTGCGCAAGCCAAATTTGAATTTTCGAAAGACGAGAGAAGTTTCCAGAGCAAGGGAGGAAAAACAATTGTACATGTCCGCAATGATGGCTTCCGAGGTAAAATGATCATTT